GGGGGGGGGGGAGGGGGGGGGGCGCAGTGGTCTTGGTGGAGTGCAGCAAGCTCAGCCTTCAAAGTCTCAGAGACCATTATAGGGAACTATATGTGTATGTTGCCGGGGGGAATGGGTTTATGAAACTCTTATTGGGGTTCTATACACAAATTATACTATATTACTACATAATACATACTTACTATAAGCCCTAAGCGCCAAGTAGTAGTTGCGCATGTGCATGAATTGGGAGTCCGCTTTCTGCCATTGGTGATGCTTGTTAGAGCTTGCAGGACAACCAAACTTGGCAAGCTTTGCAGGACCCGCGCGAGCATGAAGCTTTCCATATTTCCCTAAATAGGGTTACAAATACTGTAGTCCTTATTATGGANNTGGAGACCCCCAAAATGGTACCCCATGGTACCCCTAATTTCAGGAAACCCCCAAGTCATGAAGTCATGAATTTCGTGATGTGTCCACTTCTTCAGCACAGGGCCGGTCTCTGAATCCAGAGCGACGATTGTTGCCTCAAAACGTATTGAACGGGCGGAAAAGAGGAGACAATCTTTTGGGGCCACCCACGGCTACCACGAGGCCGGATAGGGCAACGGTTGCAGAATTCAGTCCATCCACGACCATCCATACCGAGATTGATGTTGAAACTGGACCCTGAGTGCATGTTCTGCCTTTGAAAAATGGGGGCTCAAAGCGATTTGGAGCCCAACCAGCGGGTTCCTAGTGGTGAGGTGCAGTCCATGCGTTCAACCGCACATTGCGATGCAAGTGAAGCGAGCTCCCCAAAGTAAATTCATCCGCGTTCACACACATGTTGTAACCACAACGGTTTGATTTTGGTACTAGTAAGTCTGTGGTGCAGCAGTGCAATCAAACGACAAGACGGAGCGTAACGGACGCAGACACCCACCTTAGCTGAAGCCGGCAGCAGCTTGAGCGTAGGCAGTTCCATAGCGCAGCCATTCTGAACGTGAGCATCTGAGTATATCTGAATGTGGGATTGGACTTGAAAGCGCAAGCTAGATTTCTGAACATGAGCGTTTGAATCTGGGATGCGACTTGAACTTGCAAGCTGGAGGTTTGAACATGAGAATCTGAATCAGAATCTGAATTTAGTGATCGGCGATCGGACTTCAAATTGCAATTGGAGTACTCCAGGGAATGAAATGTGCGTTTGGAATCTACGCTTCCTGAGGATGCCCTTTGACACAGGGTTGCACACACACTGACTTGCAGGGTCACTTCTCATTCTTGCAGGCGGCATCACGGAGGGGTACTTTCTTGTTGCTAGTGGGATATACTATAGATGCGCGTGAGAGCTGTTCAGCACTACCTGCAGTGTTGGCAAGGCTTGCGGTAGAAGCTTTTAGATAATAGGCAGTTTCTTGAACCACAGCCTTGTGATGACATGATTGGTAGTCAGCGAGTTATTTGTTCTGATAGCAAGAGGTTGCCAACAAAGCGAGGGCACATGCTGTGGTGGTTGGATGATCCGCAGTCTGAATCTCGCAGGTTGGATCCGCATTTGGTCACGCAACCAGGACTGTGCTCCGAATGTCATGCAAGTCAGTCAGGGCTTGATCTGCGCGACTTGATGAGCATGTGGGGCAGTAGCAAGCCACGACCAGGCCCAAGAGTACTACCTGCGCATCACAGATGGCAAGACCACGTTCAACATGGCAGAGACGGGGTACCGAAGTGTAGGACCTTGATTTTAGGCAGCAGTCGCACATGCCTCTAGCACACTCCCGAAACTAGCTTAGACATTTCAACCGTGTGGGTCTGCTAGCTTGAGCTTGAGGCTAGCCCACGTTCGTTTTAATGCGCGTGCGTGGTCCGCCAGACGACTGGAAACAAATGCAGCGAGAAGCACCTAATTCCTGCTGCACTCAATTGTAATGAATAGCAAGCAATAGAGCATAATTGAAGATGGTAGCCATCCGTTTGTACTGACAAGCAGCGGGAAACTCCGCAGAAAGTTGCTCCTTCATGTCTCGTAATCTTCAGGGAAGATTGGCTGTCAAGCGGGCAGTTCGAGGTTACTTGGCATGGCTCCATGTTGCGAATGTCTTCCTAGCTGTTAGCATTCACTAGAAATAGATGTGCGACTCTAGGCTGCCGACAGCACCCAGCAACGAGAAGCTGTTCCAACAAACGACACCATGTGGACTAAAACTTCCTGCCAAGCCACTACGCCCATCATTCAGAGTGCAGTGATGTACGAGAAGCAACGCAAAAGCTAAAATGCTAGTGTAAGCTGATGTGCAATGATGTGCAGGCCCTAGGCTCTTGTTGACTGCACACTGCGTTATGCAATCTTGCCTGCTTGAGTCTTTCTTGGCTTACACAGCAGAACCTTTTCTTTAAGATGTTGGCTTGACGCCTCACTCAACAAGGCTCACATCAATCTTACGGCACAGAGTACCTTTCCAGTAAGATCATCAACATTAGGAAAGCTTGCTTGACCTGTAATGGCAGCACCTCTGGTGTATCCCAGCCGTCGGTGCCGGAAGCGCTTTCTGCAGCATGCCAGAGATCACTTCAACTTCCTTCTGACCCGGTTTCAGGAATCTTTGGACGTGCGACTTGGGCAAACGGCTTGCAAGGAGGCTCACCGCGTACTGAGTCAAAAGCTGACTGGTGCACTCGTGGATGGTGAGACGGTGTGCTTCGAGGATGAAGGGGCGCTTAGTGCTTATACTCTCAAGCGGCTGCGGCCGCGATGTCGTGCACTTTTCGAGGTTCTACTTGCAGAGAACTCGAGCGAGGTCCTGTCTTGTTTGCTTCGTAACTGCCAGGCTGCAATGCAGCAAGGAAGGGAGCTTCGTGTGGCAAGTTTAGGTGGTGGGCCTGCCTTTGATCTTGTCGCTCTCCTTGCAACAATGGAAGCACTCAGTGAAGCCGCTTCTCAAGAGCCAGCTGTGAAGAGTTTGGAGGGATGTTATCTTCCCTCGCGCTGC